TATTTTCTAACTTTTTTCACAAATAAATCACTCCGGACTTTAAAGGAAACCCAACAGTGTGATGGGTGAGTGGTTTTGTTTGTTTGTTCGTTCACGGTGACTCTGGGCTTTGTTCAGTTGTGGCGTGTAGGGAGGGTGCTGTCTGGGACGCTGGATTGTCGGCGTGTTCGCAGTGACTCAGTTGTTCAGTTGTGTCTAGAAGTGGCACATTGCACTCGCTTTTTCGGTTTGTTCCTCCGTTCCGTTCCTTGTTGTGGAGTGATGTGTGTGTCTGTGGGTGTTTTTCGCTGTGTGGTCGCTGTCTGCTCTGTGTGTGTTTGTGTGTCTGTGGGTGGTGCGGCTTTGTAGTTTACTGAAGTTGTGCTGGGACACCTGAGTGGATTCGTAAGTAGGACTCTCTGGATTGTGGCGCACAATCGTTTTTTGATGGGGTTGGAGGCTTAAGAGCTCCTCCTGTAGCCCGGAAAATACGGTACTAATACAATGGACCAACAAAGGGCAGAGAAGAACACAAGGATATAAACGCACACAGACACAGATGAAACACATTAGGGCGGGGCAAACAATCAAGACAGGAAGTAAAACTCAAAACTGCAAGCACACAGGATAAATGTCCATATAAAACACCAAAATAAGCAGAATAAGCAAAATAATCCAGCAGAGACAGTTTATAGCTCCTCCCACACCTTCCCCTCCAGCAGAGACAGTACGTAGCTCCTCCCACACCTTCCCCTCCAGCAGAGACAGTACGTAGCTCCTCCCACATCGTTTCCTCTGGCAGAGACAGTTCGTAGCTCCTCCCACACTGTCCCCTCCGGCAGAGACAGTACATAGCTCCTCCCACACTGTTTGAATATTTCAGCTGTAAGTCCCTGTGGAGCTGTTTTCTACTGCGCCTGAGGAGGACACAAAGAGAACTGTTTTTCTTTGGACCAAAATAAATGACAATGATGTGTATTGAACAAACACATGTATCGAATTGTGAGACCAGTATCGAACGAGTCGATATTATACCAAATATCGTTGCATCCCTAGTAATTACCGAGTTATTAACCCTCTCAGGCTCAAATCAAATTTTAGTATCACGAAAAATCTGATATTTGGGGAACATTATAATATGGGGTAGTAATATACAATTCTGACTTTTTTATCCTTTGTAAACAAAAAAGTATTTTGCACTTCTGGCAGGCCGATTGCGTGTAGCCATTCATGCACAGTCTGCATTGCCCACGTTTATCAGCATGGATGGGAGAAAAGGCTCCTGAGTAAAAAAAAGCTCATAATATGGATTTGGAGTAAGTAGGTACTTGGAATTTAGCTGTTGCAAATCTGCAACGCCTGCCTGGAGAGGGTTAAAGGTGTTATATTCTACAGGATTGACTCTTGAGAGCTTTTGTTGTTGCTTCAGCACAAACAGAGCTGGAGTTGTGTTTTGTTTCATTCACACATGTTTGAGTAACTCTTTATTATTCATTTGTCTCCATCTCCAAAGCTCAAAATGCTCTGTTCCACCTTGTGATGTAATAGATTGGTAGTTTTGAAGTTAAGAGCTTCAGTGTGTGTAAACCACCTGTTGTGAGTATCATGAGTAACATGATGGGATTATGAGATGAGCTCCTGTGTGGCACTCTGCTGATGGTGAAGAGCTGTGGTGAAGATGAAGCAGAGGGAACTGAAAGAAGGAGAGAGAGTGCATTTACATGAATTCCTCACCTTCAGAGGCAGACATAAATATATTAATTAGAATTCATCTTTTCTTGTGTATTCCCATTTGGGTGTAGAGACTGAAGCATGTCCCAGCAGCCGCCCACCATGTGCACCAGGGGGCGTTGTTGGCAGGACTGGCCTTCCATGTCTGTGCATCGAGGGAGGGAGCCAGAGCAGCCCAGAGACCCGCACAGGCAGAACATGCAAAACCCCATCAGATCAGACCTGTGCTGCACGCCCACACTGAACCAAATCTTTATATCTTTTAAAATAGATTTTTTTTGACACATCGAGTGGTTTGGGACACAAGAATGTGTCATTTTAAAGAACACACATGGACTCAAGGACTAAAGAGACTTTTGGAGCTTTTCCCCCGTCATAACATGATTCACTGACAAACATTCAAACACTGACCTGGACTTGTATTTTCCTTTATTCGCTCTTGTTTGATGAGTCCTTGTTTACTAAGTCTACTCCTTCTAAACATGAATTTCCCAGTGTGGTTACGTCACAGCTAAAAGTCCGTAGGCCTCTTTCCTGTTTTTAAGTCCATAAATCAAAATCTGACCATTTCTGATGTCAAATTGTTTTCTTTGTAACTGCATTTGAAAAAAAAGTGTCTGTTGTCTGAAGAAACCATTGAAGTAGGGTCTGGTCAAGTGGTAACGGAGGGAAACAGGGTAGGTTTTTTACATTCAAATGTCTCTTATTTAGAAACTAGAGGAACTATTGAAATAAGTAAAGTATCAGAATGTAGGAAAGAGTTACACTCCAACAGGGTCAAGTTAAACCTGTGATATTCTTTCAAGTTGTTGACAAAAACTCATGTCGGTAATGGAGGGAATGAAATATGTAGCACTTTTTGGGCAATAAATCCAAACAGTGATAACTCTTGGTTCTCACTTCCATATCCTTAACAAACTGGTTTGAATATTTGCTTCATATAGTTTTCTACCATATGGTACAAGATTAGGTTGAAAAACCTCTTACTTTTTGAGTAATGACATTTTTTATTAAGAAAGGTCATGGTAACGGAGGGAAAAGTAACAGAGGGAAAATTGTGCAAACAAGTAGAAGGTGCAGGATTTTACATCATTTGTGGCTTTTTTCTTCTGAATACTTTAATATTACTTCAAAATGAAAGGAAACTATTTCTATCAAATATGTCAGTCCTTCCAAGCTAATTTGTATCATTTTAAATACTTTTTTTTTTTTTTTTTGAAAAATCATGTACCTTCCTCAACAGTTCAAAGATGGAATAACACAAGATATGATGAAATACATCCATTTATTGACATGATTTGCAGGTGTTTGAAATTTGGGAAATAATTTTTGTTCCATGTTTCATACATGGTCTGTTTAAAACATATGGAACTTTAGAACCAAAAATGGTACAGAAAAAAGGTCAACAGTTTCATAAACTAGAGTACATATGTATCTGTTCAATACATGTTTATATCAGATGCATTAACTTGAATTTTTGGCCTTGCTGTTTACTTCTGCTTGACCGGGGCCAGTAGTAAAACATGAGATGCCAAAGCAAAGGTTCTCAAGAGCTTGTAGACTAAGAACAATACAACAAAAGTGTCACATGTTGTTTAGGATCATCGGTTCAGTATGGTCACTAAAATGATCTGTGTGAGGATGAGATTTGCTATGGTCCATCTCGACTGCCCTGACAGAACAGTCAGAGAATATAGTGTGAACTGTTGTTAACACTTCCTACTTCAAGAGAAATTTTGGATTAAAATAATTTGATCTTGAAAAGTAGGTGAGAGTTCAAAGAGGGGGTATTATGCAAATCAACTTTTTGGAGCTTTCTTCCATGTTATAACCTGTTTCCTCTTTAGACTGGTATTATAATTTCTAGTCCTCTTAACTCAGATCTCAGCTCTTTGTGGCTCGATTAATATTTGACTCGTATTTGACTTGAAAATGGACCTTTTAACCACCTCCTCATGAGTCATCTCTGTGCAGATCTCTGGACTTCTTTCAGCTCACGAACCCAAACTCAGTGCTTTCTTATACCAGTCATTTTTCTGGCGCACAGATTGGGCCCCCCTTCTCCCCTTCTCCCCCTCTCCCCCTCTCCCCCCTCTCCCCTCTCCCTCCTCCTCCTCTCAGTCCGGCAGCACCCATGGGCGATTGCTGACCTTTCTGCCCACTCCTCTTTAATGTCTGCCATCGATTTGGTCTGAATAGAGACTGTGGACATCAGTGTAGCTGGAGCAGGCTCATTCACCACACTGGACCCTAGACCCCGGGACCACAGGGACCGAGAGGAGGGCCCGGTTGTACCAGATAAGCACTCCACACAGCAGCAGTGAGGCTATTGATCGGGCCCTGGTTCTAGAGTGGGTTTTTACTCACAGCACTGGAGCACCCCGTCAGGTACAAATGTCATGACATCAGGAGGTGTCAGTGATGTGATGAAGACAGAGAACTGTGGATTTGGCTCCTGGGACCAGAGCAGCTCTTAGCAGTGAAGGAGGAGGAGATGGAGAGGAGGAGGAGGCTGGTGGTTCTGCTGCTGTTTGTTTTTGTACGACTTAAATGTCAGGTTCTGATGATTTCAAATTTGGTGGAAGGTAAAAGGAAAAGTAAAGAAAGGTGACGCTTCCATTTTAGAGAGTTTCATATTGATGACATATCACAAGGAAACTTCTGTCTAAATATTTGGCACAATTTACACATACTACCACTAATACTAATACGCACTCATTTCTGTGAGATTAGATGCGTTTTAGCCCTGTACTACATGGTTGCTAAGTAACAGTTATGCAATTCTCTAGCATGATGTCATGAACAGGAAGTAAAATTTAAAATCTAAAAATGACCAATTGGGGAAAAATGTTTTAAATGTAAAATCTTAAATATAATGATCTTAAGTGTGTTTTAGTAAAAAGAGTGGTTCAGCTTGTCACAGTCACCTAAAGCTCTATACACACACGATGAGCTCAACAGGGACCTTGGGTTAGTAATAATAATTCTTACTGTGTTTATAGACTCGTGTCAGTCGTCCATGTCTGTAACTCAGTGCTCCTCAGTTGTTGTGGTAACTGTGGAACAACAACATGTCCCTCAGGTGCTGTGCAGTACTGGTGCATCATGTTAAAAACAGTGGCAGGACACATTTGCTCCATTGTTAAACCAGCTGCGTGTGTGTATGTGTGTGAGTGTGTGTGTGTGTGTGTGTGTGTGTGTGTATGTGTGTGTGTGTGTGAGTGTGTATCTTGTAAAGTTTTAGTCTTCACACAGCCTCACTGATCTGTCGTCTCTTTTCTCTTCCACAGGGCCTCAAGCCGATGGACCACAATGGCCTGTCGGACCCCTATGTCAAGCTGCACCTTTTGCCTGGAGCCAGCAAGGTACTGTCACCTCCGGTGTACTGCATTATGTACTGTACTGCACTGTACTGCACTGTACTGCACTGTACTGCACTGTACTGTACTGTACTGTACTGTACTGTACTTCACTGTGTACTGTGCTTCACTGTACTGCACTGTACTGTACTCTACTGTACTGTACTGTACTGTACTGTACTGCACTGCACTGTACTGTACTTCACTGTGTACTGTGCTTCACTGTACTGCACTGTACTGTACTGTACAGCACTGTGTACTGTACTTCAAGGTGACAACACTGATGTGGTCACTGGTGTAGTTGTTTCCATGGCCCTGTCATGCAGCTGGAGTTTGCTGGTTCTTCTTTGGCAGAAACTGCTTCTTCTCCAGTGAGGAACAGTGAAGAACAGTGAGGAACAGTGAGGAACAGTGAGGAACAGTGAAGAACAGTGAGGAACAGTGAGGAACAGTTAGAAACAGTGAAGAACAGTGAGAAACAGTGAGGAACAGTGAAGAACAGTGATGAACAGTGAAGAACAGTGAGGAACAGTTAGAAACCGTGAAGAACAGTGAGAAACAGTGAAGAACAATGAGGAACAGTGAGGAACAGTGAAGAAAAGTGAGGAGCAGTGAGGAGCAGTGAGGAGCAGTGAGGAGCAGTGATGAACAGTGATGAATGATTGTGACAGGTCTTCAGTTGCACAAAGGCGCGAGACTGTGGGTGTGAAAAGAGCTTGATGAAAATGACAGTAATGTTTATCGTTTGTTTGTGTTATAGACAGACAGAACATGACTAATGAGTGTGACTCTTGGCCCTGGTTCAAGAACAGAACACTTCTTTAAACCCTGAAGGCTCATTTATGTTCCTTTTGTACATAAACAGATCTGTGCATTCCAAGCACATTAACCGTCACTGCATTTGTGCTTCCAAACACTGTGTTCTGTTAAACAACCACCAGAGGGCAAAACAGAGCAACAAATAAACATAAGAGGCAGATTTTAGGTCCCGTCTGTTGTAAAAGACCCGAGAAGACGAGGAGACAAGTGTTTACTTGTTTTGCAGCTGGTTCTAGTCACCTTTTAAAAAGTTTAGTTTCCACTGTGTTGCTGTGTTCACTACTACCCCTGTTCTGTGGAAATGGGCTGCCCCATTGAAATTAGCTCCCACAGCCTAAATCGACAGTGATGTCTATCGATTCACGCTGCCCCGTCGAAATAAGTGACCTTATGTTTTTCCATGTACAGTTCTGTAGATCCAATAAAACTAACCTCCCCAGTGTGACACATATTTCTCGGGGTTAGAGACGCTGATGCTGTTTGCACACGCTGATCACACTTGATACCTTCATTATGTACCATCTCAACTCATTTATATGAAACTGAGTAGGTAGTTCATTTGGACAGTCGTATTCTGCTCAGTTAGACTCTGACTAAAGGAACCACTGAATAATGTCCCACTGTTGATTCAACATTATTCACTCATTTAGATGAATTTAGGCAGAGCTAATTTCAACAGGCCCAGATCTTCTATCAAATAAGACTCCCACTATAGAAGAGAAAGAAATGACTGGAAACACTGAAATATTTAAATTAAATAAATATCACAGGCTACACTGTGAATTTCCAATTATATTATAATGATATTTTATTCATACAGTGTCTTTCTAAAGGTTTTCTACGCATGGAAACAAAATAAAATACAATGCAATGAAAATGATAATGATAAAATCTGATATTATATCCAAACTATTCAGTCATCTAACGTAGATATTCTGCTACAAATCCAACACGAACATGTCGCTGTTTAACTGGTCAGAACAGACAATAAAACCAAAACACTTTTAAAATGTGACTTGTTACTCCACTTCTGCCTCGGGAACTCAAATCGACGGCATTTAACAGAGTTTGGGGGTTGTGTGCATGCGCAGTAGAGCTAGGGAGCTCAAATCGATGGGTGGCTCAAATCGACAGGACACCTCCAGTGGTCTGCTAATGTACTGCTCCAGAGCTAAGACTCCCCGTGTTCTGAGGAGAGCCTCTGTTTGTGTTTGGGTGGAGAATGTTGAGTGTACATGATGATGTCATCATGGTCAGAGACACTTTCTCTTACTGATTACATTGTACTTTCTGTTGAAATAACCAGAAGGTAAATTAACAAATGTTGAACCTGATCCTTTGGATTGGTGACTAGCCCCATTAACCCCTCCTATTACAACCAGAAAAACATTTGAAATATATACATTTTAGTTGCCCCCATCTGTATTGAATCATATTGACTTATAGAACAGAAAAAAACAGAAATATTCATATGTTTCATAAAAAAGATACTTACTGACACTTAGAAGTACAGCATGTACAATACAGTATGTACATACTTCAGAACATTCTTTGTGGAGTTAGATGTGTTTTATGCCATGCTGTGAAATATTAAAGCTGAAGGAACAACATTTCCCTGAAAACAAGCAAAAGGACAGTGCAATAATCCAAACTGGAAAAACATGCTTTTATTTGTGTCTCTTGTCTTTTGGCTAAAATGTGGCATACTGTGGCTTTAAAACACTCACTTCACCATTTTCTGACTTGCCTCAAATGTTTTTAGTTTTTTTTTAATGGTTTACTTTTCTGCTACGCTCTTCCTCTTTACATCCACTACACCACAGTGTTACCCGAGGCCGATCAGACAGACATCAGCAGGTGTAACACTGGTCCATAGAACATGAGGAGCGTCTCCAGCCATGCGTGCTGCTTGCAGTGTGATGTGAGCGGCACAGCTCATGACCTCCTCGGGCGAACAGGCCATTCACAGAACTGCTCCTAATGACTATCTGATCATGACACACTAACAGCTCACACTGCTGCACTCGAGTCCACGGGGGCTGATGGTCCAGAGGCGCTCAAATCTGACTCTGTGGACCCTGAGGAGGGACACATGGGGAGGGACCAACAGGCACAGAGTGCACATAGAGCTTCTTATTAGAGAGAGCAGGAGGCAGTGGATACACTGTGTTGCAACGAATAATGTAATAACACCCAATAATGTAACAACACCCAATAATGTAACAACACCCAAAAAACAACACCCAATAATGTAATAACACCCAATAATGTAACAACACCCAAAAAACAACACCCAATAAAACAACACCCAATAATGTAATAACACCCAATAATGTAATAACACCCAAAAAACAACACCCAATAAAACAACACCCAATAATGTAATAACACTCAATAATAAAACAACACCCAATAATGTAATAACACCCAATAATGTAATAACACCCAATAATGTAATAACACCCAAAAAACAACACCCAATAAAACAACACCCAATAATGTAATAACACTCAATAATAAAACAACACCCAATAATGTAATAACACCCAATAATGTAATAACACCCAAAAAACAACACCCAATAATGTAATAACACCCAAAAAACAACACCCAATAAAACAACACCCAATAATGTAATAACACCCAATAATGTAATAACACCCAATAATGCAACAACACCCAAAAAGCAACACCCAATAATGTAATAACACCCAATAATGTAATAACACCCAATAATGCAACAACACCCAAAAAGCAACACCCAATAATGTACACCCAATAATGTAATAACACCCAATAATGTAATAACACCCAATAATGTAACAACACCCAATAAAACAACACCCAATAATGTAACAACACTCAATAATGTAATAACACACAAAAGTGTAATAACACCCAATAGTGTAATAACTATGGTGAGCCAGTAAATGAATGCCTTTATTACATTGTTATACTTTATTACATTATCTGCTGGATTATTGGCTGGACAAGGGAAAATTGTCATCATGTAATAACTGCAGCCAGTGATGTACAAATGTTGCAGAATAAAAACACAAAGAGCAACATGTTCATGTCAGTGAGGGCGTGTGGATGTCTTTGATGTGGAATACACATTTTGCTTAGTAGTTGTTGTAAATAAGCAATAACACTGTTAGGTCAGAGGTTGTGTTTATAAAAAGGGCTGGCAGTGAAAGAGTTAAGTGAATCTATGACACTCACACGAGTGACTCATTACTCTTTTCATTGATTTATTTTAATAGCACTAATCACATTGTACATACATGCATTAAAACCCCATAACATGTCATAAAGTATCACATTACAGGCCTCTTATTACATTATGAGCTTATTACATTTAAATGTGCACAAAATCACTCTGTTATCGACTGTTATTACTTTATTGTCTGTTATTACTTTATTGTCTGTTATTACATTATTGTCTGTTATTACATTATTGTCTGTTATTACTTTATTGTCTGTTATTACATTATTGTCTGTTATTACATTATTGTCTGTTATTACATTATTGTCTGTTATTACATTATTGTCTGTTATTACTTTATTGTCTGTTATTACATTATTGTCTGTTATTACATTATTGTCTGTTATTACTTTATTGTCTGTTATTACATTATTGTCTGTTATTACTTTATTGTCTGTTATTATGTCCTGAGTTGTTACAGAGCGCACTGTAAACACACATGTGGTGAGTTGTCTTGTGTCGTCCCTCACAGGGCTGAGTACAAACCTTGGGTACATGTGGCCACAGTAACTCACTTGGTAGAGTTTTTCTCCACAGATCTGAAGGTTCACAGTTTGAATCCCGCTCTCAACATAAACATCTTTGGTTGAGCGGTCAGATCCACTGAGCCATGAGTCCCATGAGTGTGTGTGTGTTTGGGCAACTGTATTGATATTCATCATATATTTTTGAGTATATGTTGGCATATTTTATGACCCTGCTACAGTTTTGATGCTTGTTGAAAGTCGGGCACTTTATGCAGTACATGTGACAGATTCACACAGCACAGGTTGTGCTTTAACAGACTTTTGGTATCACATGAGTTGTTATGTCGGGAGCCTTTTGAGCAGTTAAACAGGAAGAATGTTGTTTACCTCTGTAAACATCCAATAAATAAATGAATACAAATACATCAAATGACCCTTTGTACAAGTCCATGTTG